GCACCCTATGTTCCTGTTCGGGCAGTTACCCAGTCAACGCTTCAACCTTACGCATTGCGGGTACAGGAAGTGGCTCCTGATCAGGTAACTCCCCGAACAGGAGAGCCCATCTTGATGTGATTTTAATACATTCCGCCCCAGATGCTGTTACAGAAGGCAAGTTTTCAAAGATAGATATCAGCATAAAAGGTGAGCTCATCTGGGATGTTCTCATTTTTGACAAAAGATTAGAAGCAACAAAAAAAGCTTAAATAGCTTCAACTTTTCACCATTTAAAAACCTCCAATACCAAAATTGATGTTAATGCTCTGCGTTTCCTATAAACAGAGGCTAATGAATCAAGATTCTCGAAACCCTTTGCTAGTCCACTCTCGGATTTTGGACGAACAACGGTAGTAAGCCGGTCATCCCAGCCTTTTTTGAATTGAAAAGTTTTGAAAATCTTTTTTCAATCAGTTTTTGACATTATCAAATGTGAAAACTTGTCTAATTGAGGAGGTTTGGAAGTACTCCAAAACGCATGAAGCATTTTGCATAAAATTTGAGGTTGCAAATGTTACTCTAATGCTTTCCTCTTCAGTGTTTACTGTGTATGCTAAAAGTGTGCTTGAGTTCTACATGTGTCAAACATCAAGGGATTTCTACTCCAAGATTGTCAAAAAACAAAAAATTACATTTTTATAAGGTGATTTGCGTAACATTGTACTAGTAATCGGCATTTACATTTTAGATTTGCAATTAGAATGTAAATTTTCATAGATTTTAAGTCTTCATTTTATTTGCTGGAAGACAGCAAAATCCAATGGAAGATTATATTTGGGTACCATGAGCGAATTTATCACGGAGAAGGATGTTTGGGAGGTTGTTGGGTGTTTTGAGATATTTTGACTTTGATTTAAGTGCAAATTTCCAAGAAGATTCAGCGCCTATAATGAAGCAACAACATAATTTGATTAAGTTTATCAATATAATACAAGCTACAAGATTGTGCTCTGTCCATTCATACTCATTTCACTTATAACCTGACAAGATTCTAATCACCTACAAGCGAGCATTACAGAGATAGAATATCACAATAGCAACGTTGTCAGGAAACAAAAAGGGTAAAACGCTTAAGCGCTATACAGAAAAGTAGCTCTGAAACTGTGCACTTCAGGCAGTTACCGTAATTCACAATTCCGTTACAAGCGGAAACTCTTGTGTAGTTCAAGCAAGAATTGATGTCACCTGGAACGGTCTCATCGTGAAACGAAATGAACAGCACACCACTATCAAAAGGATAAGCATAAAACAAACAGAGGAATGTTTGTGCTTCAGAAGTTCATTAGTCATCAGAGAAATTGAATCAATGATGGAACATTTCAGGAATTAATAAACATTTAGAAACATTACCAAATAGAATGGCATGGCATTTACATGAGACAAGACAGCTGTTCACTGATGCTGTTGAGGTTGTGGCGTACTATAACCTGGAGCGAAAGGATTTGGCTGTTGTGGTGGAGGTGGAAACTGCCCATAAGGTTGCTGATAACTGGGAAAAGCTCCAGGGAAAGTTGGATATGGATTAGCAAAGTTTGGTTGATACTGGGGTTGATAGAAGAACGGCTGTGGTTGGCCTGAAATACAAAAAATAAATAAAATGAAAATAAAACCAAGCTCATTACCACATAAAACAGAAGATAGAAGTCTACTTCTAAACAAGCATTAGCATACATCAACGGGTTAGAAAGTCAAAAAGTAACTCTAAAACATTTAGTTTGAGACATGGCAAAGTACCGTACCATACGGCACTGGTTGCTGGTAATATCCCGGTTGCATTTGTGGTGTCGACGACGTTGGTGTCATTCCGGGAGCCGAAGCTGGCGCAGCAGGAACAGCTGCAGGAAAACAACATGAACA